TCCAACCCAATAGCGATGGCCTCCAAGCTACTAGCGATGGCCTCCAACCTAATAGCGATGGCCTCCAAGCTACTAGCGATGGCCTTCAACCTAATAGCGATGGCTCCAAGCTACTGGCGACGGCCTCCAACCTAATAGCGACGGTCTCCAACCTACTAGGGATGGCCTCCAACCTACTACCGATGGCCTCCAACATAATAGCGATGGCTTCCAAGCTACTAGCGATGGCCTCCAACCTACTAGCGATGGCCTCTAACCCAATAGCGATGGCCTCCAAACTACCAGCGATGGTTTCCAACCTAATAGCAATGGCCTCCAACCTAATAGCGATGGCCTCCAACCCACGAGCCAACCTACTAGCGATTCGTGGTGAACTTACAATGCATGCTTGGCATTGTGCTTTCTGTGAGACCAAGAGGCCGACCTTTGCTTTGCATTCTCTCCCATTGGGGCCCCGGTGCCCAGTGTCGGCTACGGTCGCGAAGCGGCCAGTGTTGACGTTAGGTCTTGCATGAGACCAACACAGGGATGTGAATTCCAAGGCATTGATCGCCCGCGGCCACTTCCACCACGTGCTGTTTTGGTCGCATTCCAAGAAACGAAACGAAAAGGATCGTTGCGGATCGCCTTCCGCTGGCCTCATCGCCATACAAAGGTGGGGCCAGTGGAAGATTACCCTGGCAAAGTCAAGGAAGCTGGAGAGCTTCCAAAGTGTGGGCCCTGGTCAGCCTTAGGAACATCACAGATGCAGGCGACTTCGGAAGGCTTGAAAGCCAACCAGTTGTTATGTAGAGACAGTGAAATCCAGACACAAAAATCCAGACATACTCAAGTAGGCATTTATGTTACATTCACAAAACATTGCTTGTTGAAGAAATGGGCGAGCGCAGCTTGGCTGTTCACTGCTCACCCCCAAAAATAGAACCAAGTGAGGCTGGTGGCTGATTGGCTGGCAAGTGGCAAGGTTGTGGGATGCTCAGTAAGATCCAAAAGATACTGATTTTTCAGTATGTTCTTTATAGACGTACGTACCGTATATATACATAATTTTGTATACACATAGCAGGTATTTCTTCCTTTCTTCCTTAGTCTTACTTCTCTTTACCTTTTGAATCCTGTGTCAACCTTCGTCAACTTCAAAAGTGGCTGAAGGTCTACATCTCCTTTGGCACCAATGTGAGACCAACACGAGAGGTCAGGTGTCCTATTTTTGACATCAGGATGTGTGCAGTGACACCTTGATGGCCAGGTCTACCAAGCCATTCTGGGTGCAGCGGAGGGCTTGCAGGCGTGGCAAGTTCGCGGACGCTTTGTGGGCATAGGTATCAAAAAAAAATAAAAAGAGCATCAAAAGAAAATCAAAACAGGATCAAAAAAAAAAGCGAATCAAAAAATAAATATTCCTTGATAGGCCTCTTTTGCTGCTCTCCTGGCCTTGTGGTCTGCGGGTCCTCTGGTAATGTGTTCCCTTGGTCCCTTGGTCCTCTGGTCCACTGGTCCTTTGGTCCCCTGGTCCCTTGGTCCTTTAGTCCACTGGTCCCCTAGTCCTCCGGTCTCCTGGTCCTCTGGTCCTGTGGTCCGCTGGTCCCCTGGTATCCTAGTCCTTCTGTCTCCTGGTCCGCTGGTCTTTTGCTCTCCTACGGCGCTCGTCTGTCGATCTCCTGGTCCCCTGCTTGCGCAAATAGAGGCTTGATTGCTTTCTACTAGAGGCAGCTCCCTGGGAAGAAAGTCGGTACCCAACGATAAGGTCGCCGTCCAGTCATTGAGTAGCCCTACTCGAAAAACGGTTCACCAGTGGAAATAGCTCCCTACTAGGAGGGAGCTCCTGGGGAGGTACACTCTCCTAGGGAGGGGTATTTATTTTTGGATTTTGTTTGTTTCTTTTTTGATTTTTTTTGTTTTTCGTGGCTTCTGGCTTCTGGTTTCTGTGGCTTCTGGCTTTTGTGGCTTTTGGCTTCTGTGGCTTCTGGCTTTTGTGGCTTTTGGCTTTCGTGGCTTTCGTGGCTTCTGTGGCTTTTGGCTTTTGTGGCTTTTGGCTTTTTGGCCTATCCATCTATCTGTCTATACCTATCTATTTATCTATCTATCTATCTTTCTTTCTTTTGGCAGCTGTTCTCCTTTCTCTTTTGTATTTGCATTTTCCTGTTGTTTTCGTTGCAGAGACGAAACCAAACAAGGAAGCAAGCAAGCAAGCAAGCACGAGCTGCTCACCTTTGGATCTGGTGTGCTGCTGGGGGGGGCGCTGCGCCCCCCCCCAACCCTCCCCGCGCCACGAAATCTGCACTTCATCCCCGACACCCGCGCCTGCCACGAAATCAATATTTTAAGGTGAACTCCCCGGTGCAAAACTTTCTAACCAAGCAAATATCTATCTATCTATCTATCTATCTATCTTCTTATCTTATCTTATCTAATCTAATCTTATCTAATCTAATCTAATCTATCTATCAATTTATCTTTCTATTTTTCTATCTTTCTGCAGTTCAACAGCCACAAAGTACTGCACCTGCCACGAAATCTGCACTTCAAGGTCCACAAAGTACTGCACCTGCCACGAAATCTGCAC